CCGATTGTCGTAAAAACACCATTTTAATGTTTTAGAATAATTGCATTAAGATTTTTAAAACCCTAGTTCTTGCTCGATTTTTTTTTCAATAGGTTTGTTGTGCACGATAATTTTTTCTGGATTTTTTCTGTGCGCGAATTTTTTTGGGGTATTTGTCCAACCAACCCCCCCCCCAAAAAAAAAAAAATCTAATGGTACGCCCATAACTGGCATCGCATGTACAGTACTCAGTGTAGTTATACAAAATTATACATGTGATTTCTTATTTCAGTACGTTTCTTACTGTCGTTCCAATTGAAGTGTTCCTCAAATATTGATTCAATACATTACCTCGGGCTGACCAATTCATTTCATTGCACACATTTGAATGCACCAATCACCTTTGTTGTTTGTGCAACTAACCAATCATAAATAGAAAGGAAGTGACCAGAAATAATCAAATTCTTGGAATTGGCTCTTTCACAGGAAGTGTATGAATATCTCGAGGAACTTGATGAAATGAATTGGTCAGCCTGAGGTAATGTATTGAATCAATATTTGAAGAACACTTCAATTGGAACGACAGTAAACGAACCTGTGTTGAAAAGATACTGATAACTAGGAACATTATAACCAGTATAGTAACGTGTTTGCCATCCACCAAATAACGGAAAACGTGGTCGGATCTCCAATTCAACTGAATCATCCATAGCCAGAAGATTACTTGTTGAGATATTACCAATCTCATCCCGATAATAAACATCAGCAGCAGAAGCAGGCAAAACACTTTTGAAAGACTTTATCACAGCAAATGTTTGACTCCTTTGGTAATCATATCTTGAGAATGTTCCCTTAAAAAACAGAATGATAGAAATACAATTCAGTCCGGTATCGAGCTGTCACATTTCCAATTACTGAACTGTACATTCTAGGCATTTAGTATCCTGACGACATACAACTGCGCACATGAAATAATTGCACTAGCTATTGGAGCATTATACCATTCCACTTTTGTAACTAAGTTAGGAACATTGTAGCGCAAAGACTTTGATTAATTTTGCAACATTTCTGATTCAAATTCGCCATCTTGAATTTAAAGTTTATGTAAATCAGCGTGATTTTTGTATCAGATACACAAACTCTTTCACGTTCATGATTACTTTTGTTTTCTTCAGGACTTATTAACGAGTTTCACAAAGTGTAGTTATTAGCTGTCTGCTCATACTGTATAGTTCTGAATGTAAATAAACGAAACAAATTTGTTGCTCAGCTCTTTACCTTAAGTTCTGCGCCCGTATGTTTCACGTGGAAGGTTTCTTCAACTGCAATATTTCCCCAATGCGACACTTCAATTGTACGAACCATGTTAACAACCTATGCATAATGGGGTTTTAGTGACAACAATGTAATTTCTCAATGAATACAACCAATGATATGTAGAACTGAAAATAGTCATCGCTCCATGTATATTAATATACGTCCGTAAGCCATACCCTACCGACCTGGTATCAATCTTGCTGTGATGAAAATATTTGGGATACAGGTACTGTATATTTACACTACTGCATTCTGGGTTTTGCGTTAATTCCCATTGATCTGCGATATGCCCGAATGCACCCTACTTTTGTTCTTTTACTGTACTCTGTTTAACGCCAGACAACGTTTTTCATCAAGGGAAGAGTCTTGCACACAATGGATAAACCTATTACACTAATCACATTTGTGTTCGTGTTTTGGGCTGAAAAGCATGTTGAAATTTTAACCTTTACGTCGTCTTCGCCATGCCACTTGGCGTGTTAATTTCTTTCCTAGAACTTTTCATCAGTTTCAGCTCTTCGCTAATTTTTTAAAAAATATATAACCGTTGTCCGTTCAGTAAGTTGTATAGATACACAGAGGACGTCATAACTTCAGAGACCAACTCACCCTGGCAGCTGTAGGGCATTTTTGTTATTACGATGTTATCACATCATATACAGTAACTGTTGTATCCACAACTGTAATTGATACGTTCACATTACACCAGAGAAAAATAATGCCGGCAGAATTGACGTGTGTTCACAATGAGCTGTTAAACTTTGTTTACAAATTAAATTAGCACTCATGTAAACCCAAAATATTTCAAATAGAGCAAAGAAATTAAACGAAAAGCATTCAAATTTACTGTTTTGAGACGCGAGATGCTTGGGTCTGCAAGCGGTAAAAAAGTAATGGCGTTTGCGTTCACATAAAGTCGCTAAGCGGTCCGTTTTTATCTCGCACCGTTTAGAAAATTTCGTCACAGCTATGTAAATGACTAATTGTGACTTTCTTGTGTTGTTTTCAAACCACTCCGGTGCAGTGTGAACATATTAGCCATCATGGTGCTTAAGATACACCAAATCTACGACGCGGACGTGACAAAAAACTGCCGCTATTATCACAGTTTCATTTCACGGGTAAAAACTATGTATTGTTGTTGGTAAACAGAGCCAGGGACACGAGAAAAACAAAGTAAAACTAGTGTCCCATTATTATTAGCGACTGTTTTTTAGTCGCGTCAGCGTCGCAGATTTGGTGCTCTAGCTCCTACTGTATGAAAATACAGTATGTACTTCTCTGGGTCCAACCCAGCTCTTCCCACACACACTTACAGTCAAAAACGGTGAATTGTTTTCATAATGAATTTTCATGTTGCTCTTTTGAAGTGGTGCAATATTTTCATATGGACCATACGTTATTGTTTCTTCATCTTGAGATGAGGGCTTCAACTTGCTGTAGGATTCCACTGTTGCTGATGCCAGTTTCACTGTAGTTGTTTGCTTACCAGTTTTGTATGGTGATAAGAAATAATGATTTCCTTCGAACACAACATTTTGTTTTTCCGCTTGGCCAATTTTCTCAGGGAATGCCCTCAAGGCATGAGAGAATACCATATCAACAGTTACTTTCACAGATTTTCCAGATGGAAGTGGGCTATCCAGGGTGATTTCAAATATTTTGTTGGCACTATAAAGTCGTTAAGACCTATTAGCATACAGTAAGCGTCAATACGAATTTTAAGAAAAAAATTCCACACCATCCCATAGTGATGGTTACAAGCTTAAGGTGTCCCTACGCCTTGCCAACTACAGTATGTATTCCATACTGATAACCTCTGTTACATGCAGTTGATCAAACTGTCAAATCAGATATTGAAAGCAATGGAATCAATTCAATTTGATCATAACCCAGTGCATATCATCATCTTGACATTTTGAAATTGAATTAATTATCAACATGCCCTAGTGTGTGCATTAAAACCCTTGAGTAAGAGATTCGCTTTGCCATCATTCCCCTTGCACAGAATACTAAATACACCCAAGTCTTTTTGGACGGCCAATAAGAAATCTAAAGGACACCTTTTGTTACTCTAGTATTTTGGTAGCTATGTCAAGTGAAATCGGCCATCACGAAAAACCTCATGCGCTGTTGATCAGTGAGGACAATTCGTCAAATATTCTTACTATCTGTTAACTAATTGCACCATCCTTTGACCATTCAAACTTTTCTTGATTATTTACACTTTTTGTTGACTATTCATGTACTTTTCCTGGTGAATTGTGTATTTTAAATTCATGGATAATGCTTTTTGATAGTGAAAAGAGCCATCAAGACTATCAAAAGTGAGATAATTCTGAATTTCTGAATAAATCTTCCAAAAATTATAGCCCTTTAGAATACCCATGTCCCATTGATAGTGGGATTCCCAGAAAATACGGAACAACCCCTGGCCCTTCCCCTGTCAAAGGGTATTCAAAATGGACAATTTAAACACCCAATTCTCAGATCTTGGCTAAGAACCTGCATACATTACTGTAAAAATTCAGGTTCCTAAAGAAACTAGCAACTTAACAATTGTAAAAAAATACAGTTATAGTTTGATTTCACAACTGACAAGTGAGAAACGCTATATTTATTTTAAAGTACATTTCAATTTTTTGTGCTGTTATTGCTATAATTGTACAGCACGCCCAGCATGTAGCTATAACTCACATAATTCGGTCCTTGAAAAAAGCCGAAACCGAAAACCGTCAGGAAAAAGCCCGTTTCTAATCTATAAATAACACACAGACATAAAACCGTGTAGCACGTATTTTTATTATGTGAAGAATTTTGGTTTTAGATGCTTAATATTAAATTTAAAAGCTTACAGAGGTATAAAAATACAAGTAGGAAGACAATGACAATGTTTAAGAATGTATTTACAAGTTTTCAGCTAGGATTAGTTAAAACATTAGCATTTTAAACAAGATAAAAATGGCATTTTATCTTGTTTTTTCCCAGTTCTTTGTCTTTTCCTGGGGTTTTTTTTGTTTTTCGGTTCTTGGACTTTGGCAAAACCGAAAAAAAGGGTTTTCAAAAAACCCCCAGTATTTTCCGGTGTCACAGGAGATTCGCCCCCCCCCCCTCAAAAGGGGGGCGATATTCCTAGGATATTCGCCCCCCCAGGGCGAATCTCCTAGGAATATCGCCCCCCAGCGGGGCGAATCTCCTAGGAATATCGCCCCCCTTTAGGAATTTCGCCCCCCCCCCCCATATAAATTTTGAATTTTTGATCTAAAAACAAAACGATTGCAAGTTGAAAAGATTTATTGTGTGATTTATTTATTACAAGGAGACAAAATTACATACACATTTTAGGCTTCTTAGCAGCTGGTAGTGTGCACACTGCACAGTCTACATAACCACTCATTTGAGGTACTTAGACTAGTGTCATATTCTACACATCTAAAGTGGAACTATTGCCCACAGAGATCGCGTAAAATCATGTTGTCGTATTCTTCTGACAGTTTACATTCACATAACATATTACAAAAACAATCGCTGGCAAATTTTATCAATACCAGTGTTAACAATAGCCGCCACAGTAATCAGTGTACTAATCACTTGCTAACAATAAACTATAGGATTAATAAAAAATCTATGGAATGTGTTGGGAAGCGTATTGACTATTGTCCGTTGAATCATCAACTTTTCCATGTCAGTGTTTAATTTAATAGTGATGTAATCTTGATTCTTGACTTCCGCAAAGAAAATTGCATTATATATGTGGTGTGGTTTATTCAAATAATTTCATGATACTTTGATTTTATTAGTGCCTCAAACATTTGAGAATGTAACTCTGCAAAACTAAAAGCTTATTCATCTTTTTTGAAACGTATATTATTGGAGTAATGCCTATTGGCAAGTTTTACCCTTCGCTTCTGAGATTTACAAACTATATTGAAATAATGCAAGTAAAAAATAGTGATAACTTATAAGCCACACATTTTCCAATAACGACAAAACGTGGATGCAAAACAATACCAATAATTACAATAACTACCATGGTGATTACTTTTTAACAATGAGTTTAAGGATTAACACTGAAATGCAAAATATGCATGGTGTGCTGTGAAGCATCATAAGTCCTATTGATCTACTGTAACTGTGTAAGCCCTTTCGATACATGTAATTGTAAATTTGTATTCTTACATGCAGGGCTTGAAATAACGTTCCCAAAGTTTCCGATCATGGTGATCGGCAGTCGTGACTTTCCCTGATTTTTTCAGGTTGGAAACCGAAACCCTGCTTTTCCGCCGATCATAAGCAATTCCTTGCCGATCATTGATCGGTGATCGGTTGTTATTTCAAGCTCTGTCTTAACAATTTTGAATTGATACTGATTTCAAATTATTAAAGCCATGTAATAATTATCCCATGCAACTGTTAGGAGGGGCGAAATTTTGAACGGAGGACGAAAATCCTAAAGAAAAGGTGAAGTTTCCAAAGGGGG